AGTAAATAATGTCATTTCAGAAAACAGTACAGTCAATCGTTCAGAAATAATTATAGTCGAACGTATCTTTAACAATTGTTACTCACAGATTACTGGGCTATAGACAGGCTAGTCAGCGTCATCGGTTGCCAACTCTACACAGTTGTAGAATGAACACACACTAAGTTACACACTAGGGATTAATAACTTAACCCCTTAACTGGCTTGGTGTGGTTCTATAACATTATCCTCAATAAGATGCCTTAAACATGGCCTAGGAATGCCTAGGATGGAATGAGGATGCAAAAATTGCACTTTAAAACATTTTTCAAAATTTGCTGAAAACAGGGGTCTCGCTCGAGCGTGGGTTTTCCCGCTCAAGCGGACATGCAGACAATGAAGCTCCGCTCGAGCGTGACTTTCCCCGCTCGAGCGGACTGCAAACTCATGAAAAAGTACTGGTTGCACGTTTTTCACGCTCAATTGACGCTCGACCCACGATCGAGCGTGAGACTCAGACTCTCGCTTGAGTGCAAATTACCTCGCTCGAGCGGACTGCAAAACACATGAACTTCTGGGCATATCTATTTCACGCTCGGGCGTGACCATCGACGCTCGAGCGGAAGTGCATGTACTCAGAGTGTACGCTCGAGCGTGAAGTCCTTCGCTCGAGCGTGGATAAAAAATCTGGAATTCCCAAAATGATCCTCAAGCACAAAACTCAACCTCTAAAGCTTCAAATTCGATTTTTCTGGGCTAATTTTCTGGAAAACACTTAGAAACCCATAATACAACATGTTTTAAAGATCATTTCATAAAATCAAGCCCAAAAGTGTGACAATTGAACACAATTTGTAATGTAAACTTGAAGAATAATACAAGAACATAACATGCATGAGTTCTTATGAATTCCAATGTTCCAAAGCATGATCAAATGCAAGATTGAGCTCAAAGGCATGGTGAATTTCAAGAGTACAACCAAAATGTGGACATGCATGTGGAAATTCTCGTGAAAATGATCTCAAAACTCAATGATATGGACATGCATGCAAACATTGCTACTCAATACAACACTTTAAGCTCATTCTTGACTCTAATCACCAATTTTCCATGAACTATGCATGTAAAAATTTAAATTCATAATTGAGAGGATGAATTTCCTACCTTAAGTCTTGAATTCCAAGTGTAGAAGCCTAATTTCTTAAGTTTCTTTCAGTTCCTCTAATTTCAAGCCAAGATCTAGATGAACTCAATTTTTCTTCCAATTCCCTCTCTCTCACGTTTGGTCTAGAAGATGGATGAAAAGTGGTGCATCGAACATATGTAAAGTGTAATGAGGGTTGGTCTTGAATTAATCCACTCAATGGCACAAGTGTAATTTACCTAGGTTCAATTAGTTTAACATTTTTTATTCTAATCTAATCATTCCAAATTGAATTTTAATTAAACCTACCATAAAATCTCATAAATCCTAATTAGCATTGAACACTAACCAATTTCTGAATCGGTTGCCGATAAGGCTTTCAATTCGCAGTTTGAAATCAAAACATGAACAGATCATTCAATGACAAACAGATAGAAATGCAATTAAAGCAGCACTCATGCAACCAATTCAGGATTTCATCTTAATCAATTACTTATCATGCTTAATCACAATTTAACACTAATCAGAGGTGAGGGTTGTCACAGTCTTCCTTCCTTAAAAGAGTTTAGTCCTCCAAACTCGGATTACCTTTATTTCGGAAGAACACTGGGTCCAGGGGGAACAATTCAGGATATCTTTTTATCATGTCGTCTTCCCTTTCCCAAGTGGCATAGATGCCACCATGGTTTTGGCAATCCACTTTCACTAACGAAATTTCTTTGTTTCTCAACTTCTTGATTCGTCGGTTGACAATCTGAATAGGCCGTTCTTCATAAGTGTAATCATCACTCAATACCACACGGGTAGGCTCAATAACATGGAAGGGATCCCGAAGATAATCCCTCAACATTGAAATATGGAAGACATTATGTATATGCTCCATTTCAGGAGGAAGCGCTACTTGGTACGCCATTGGATTAATCTTCTCAATGATTTCATACGGCCCAACATATCTCGGTACTAGCTTACCCTTAGCCCCAAAACGAGTCTGTCCTTTCATTGGTGTCACTTTAACAAAAACATGATCACTCACTTCATATTCCCTGTCTCGTCTTCGGACATCCGCATAACTTTTATGTCAGCTTTTGCGGTTTTTAATCTTTATTGAATTAGTTTCACCTTTTCTGTTATTTCGTGTACAATTTCGGGCCCAAGCAAAGGCCCATCTTAAACTTTTGCCCAACAAATAGGAGACCGACATTTTCTGCCATATAAAGCCTCGAAAGGCGCCATACCAATGCTCGAGTGAAAACTGTTGTTGTAGGCGAATTTAGCTAAAGGTAAATGACTTTCCCAATTTCCTTAGAAATCAAGAACTTACATACGCAGTAAGTCTTCCAGAGTCTGGATGGTTCTTTCTGATTGGCCATCTGTTTGAGGATGGTATGCACTACTCAGTCTCAATTCGGTACCCAAGGCCGTTTGCTGACTTTGCCAGAATCTCGATATAAACTTCGAGTCCCTATCAGAAACAATAGACACAGGCACTCTATGCAATCTGACAATCTCATCAATATAAATTGTAGCTAATTTGTCCATATTATAAATTGTTTTGACAAGTAAGAAGTGAGCAGATTTAGTCAATCGATTAACAATAACCCAAATTGAATCCATACCTTTACTGGAGCGAGGCAATCCGACAATGAAATCCATAGTAATATGTTTCCATTTCCACTCCGGTATTGGTAAGGGATGAAGTATGCAACGGTGTTAGCTTTCCCCAGATGGTACAAAATTTGCAAGTCATAGTGTTTTATTAGTTTTAACCATCTCCGCTGCCTCATGTTCAACTCTTTTTGTGTAAAGAAATATTTCAGACTCTTGTGATTTGTGTACACTTCACATGTTGCCCCATATAAGTAGTGGCGCCAAATTTTCAATGCAAATACCACTGCGACAAGTTCTAAATCATGAGTAGGGTAGTTCTTTTCATGTGGTTTCAGTTGTTGGGAAGCACACGCAATAACTTTACCATTCTGTATTAACACACATCCCAAACCCTTATGAGAAGCATCACTAAAAATAGTAAATCCATTCGTACCTGAGGGTAGGGTAAGAATCGGTGCAGTCACAAGTCGAGTTTTTAATTCTTGGAAAGCTGATTCTCTCTAATCGGTCCAGTCAAATGATATCCCCTTTTAAGTCAATTGAGTCAATGGTAGAGCAATTTTGAAAAAATCTTTCACAAACCTTCTGTAGTACCCAGCTAAACCTAAGAAACTCCGAACTTCAGTAATATTAGTCGGTCTAGGCCAATTCACCGCTACTTCGATCTTCTATGGGTCAACTGAGATGCCATCTTTACTAATCACATGTGCCAAAAACATCACATTATCAAGCCAAAATTCACACTTTGTTAGTTTTGCATGCAGTTTCTGTTCTCTTAAGGTCTGTAAAGCAATTTTCAAATGACGTTCATGTTCTTCCTTACTCTTGGAATAAATCAAAATGTCATCTATAAAAATAACCACAAATTCATCGAGGAATGGTTTGAAAATCCTGTTCATAAGGTCCATAAATGCAGCAGGTGCATTAGTAACTCCGAAAGGCATAACAAGAAATTCATAATGTCCGTACCTCGTTTGAAAGACAGTTTTTTCAATGTCCTCTGTTTTGACTTTTAACTGGTGATATCCGGATCTAAGGTTAGTTTTGGAGAAAACCTGAGTACCTTGCAATTGGTCAAATAGATCATTAATACGAGGCAATGGGTACTTGTTTTTCACTGTCACCTTGTTCAATTCGCGGTAGTCAATGCAGAGTCTTAGTGAGCCGTCTTTCTTTTTCACAAATAAGACTGGCGCGCCCCACGGTGAGGTACTGGGCCTGATAAACTTCTTATCCAACAATTATTGCAGCTGTATTTTCAATTCTTTCAATTCGGTAGGTGCCATTCTGTACGGAGCTTTGGAAACTGGAGGTGTACCCGGTAACACTTCAATAGTGAACTCAATCTCCCTATCAATCAAATCCCCTGGCAAGTCATCTGGAAAAACATCTGGGAATTCTCTGACTATAGGAATACTGTCCACATTAGTTTTAGTATCAGCAGGTACAGTCAATATGCAACATAAATACCCTTTACACCCATTTTTAATTAATTTGAATGCTTTCATGGATGAAATCAGATATGGGGGAGGTACTACACCAACTCCATTAAACATAAATTCAGGCAATCCAGGTGGACGGAAAATAACTTGTTTCGTTACACAGTCTATGGAAGCATGATATTTTGTTAACCAGTCCATTCCCAAAATTATATCGAAATGATCAATATTCAAAGGAAGTAAATCAATATACAAAAGTGCATCCCCGATAACAATCTCACATGCAGGATACACATAAGCACAAGTCATGGATCCCCCAGCAGGTGAAGACATAGCTAACAAATAGTTCATGGGTTCTAGTGGTCTATTTAATTTTCGTGAAAAAGCATGCGAGACAAACGAATGTGTGGACCCTGAATCAATCAGAATATAAGCATTTTGGGCACAGATTGAGAGTATGCCTGACGCAACTGTCTTGGTGTTCTGCACATCTCCCGGTACGAGTGCAAACACCCGGCCTTGCCTCAAAGGCTCCTTTCTAGTAGCTTTGAGATTGGGTTTTGGTGTAACAGTTGATGCTGCGGCACTAGCTGTAGTCTTACTATTGCCTTAAGATGTGGAAGGGCAATATTTGACCATGTGACCCACCTTGCCACACCTGTAACATGCCCCAGAAATTTTGTAGCAAACCCTCTTATGTCTTTTGCCACATTCGGAGCAGGGTGGTATAGAATTGTTTCCCTGACTAGAGCTGCTTGTTGACCCTGTTTTTTGTTTCTTATTCAATGAGTTATTTCGGCCTTTTTTGAAATTGAAGCCTCGCCTCTTACCCCGCCATTCGGTCACCGGTGTCTTAGTCTGTTGCAATGCAGTGACATTTGCCTCGGCTATAATTGCTCGGTCAAGGACATCCACATATTTAAGTAATTTCAAAACATTGATTCGATCCAGCATCTCTACATTAAGCCCACTTTCAAACTTTCTGGCCTTTCTATAATTAGTATCAACCATGTGCGGTGCATAACGGGCGAGTTCAGTGAACTTAGATTCATACTTTACTACTGACATGGTGCCCTGCTTCAACTGTTCAAATTCAGTTACCTGGCGATCTCGGACACATTGGGAAAAGTATTTTTCAAAGAAGGCTTCTTTAAGCTGAGCCCAAGTCATCGCATTATTAGTATCACGTATAAGCATCCACCACCGTCTAGCCACTTCTTGTAAAGTAAAGGTAGCCAGTAAGACCTTGTGTGTCTCCAAACAAGGAAACACTTCAAACAATTTTTCAGTTTTTAAAACCCATGCTTCGGCCTTTAGTGGCTCAAGACCTTCTTGGAATGATGGTGGCTTCATTTTATTGAACTTTTGTGTCAAAGCAATTACATCATCATGAACATTCGGTTCTGGTTGTACTGGAGGAGGTGGGGGCTGTTGGTTCTGTTGTTGCCTTAAGGCCTTAGTCAACAGTTCAACCGTTCTTTTTAACCTTTCCATTCTTGACTCGAATGATTCAGATTCATCGGCATTTCTTGTATTCTCCATTTCACTATATGCAATACGGTAATAATAAACATAAAAAATTGCTTACTTAAGCACATTAGTGCATATATTCATATCATGGCCACACATACTTTCTTATGCTTGTGCAATGCCCTAATTACTTTTCTAGGACATCCTATAGCTCATTTGGACACGTGTGTGCGGTATAACTCGTGCTCTGATACCACTCTATCATGACCCAAACCCGCCCTTATGGGTTTAGCATTGTAACCGGCTAGTAATCCGTGATTACCAAAGGCCTGCTTAACAGTAAAGACAATAATACAGAGTAAGGGGCTGGCAGAAGCCAAACAGTAAATAAAAGATGTCCAATGAGCTGTGAAAATCTGAATGGAAAAAGAATTTGATGGACTGGTCCACATTTATAACCGTAACATATATACATTTCAGATACCTGTAACATACAGGTTAGGGATCCAATCCCTTCACCATAACTGTACAATCAAAAGTCTTAAACATTTGTTACAAAATAGAGACAAAAGGGTGAATCTAAGACACCCGAAAATAGCCTTGGCTTGAATAGACTTGGAACCTCGAAGTGAGGCACAGTGGTTGGCTTGACAAAACGAGAGCTTAACTTGACACTCCTAGCTTCGGTCCGGGGCTTGGCTACCTACATACATATATAAATTATGAGCTAAAGTCCAGTGAATAACAAATGCGTAAAGGGTTTAAGAATGAATGTCCTTTCAGTAATTAAAATAGTCATTTGCATTTGTAGATCAGTTATTCAATTAGTGACTGATAGTTCATATCATAACAGTGGTTTAGAAACCATAGCAGTCGTATGTGGTACATCCAATAGCAGAATAGTACAGTAGGTCTTAATAGACCGAACAGTTAGTTGATGGCCATCAATACAGTAACAGTAGTTCCAAGGATAGGAACTGACGAGATCTCTGAAACCGAGTAGCAGTAATAATACATAACAGAAGTTGCTATGGATGCCACGAGTACAGTTTACAAATAGGACAAACGTTCATTCAGTAAACAATGTCATTTCAGAAAGCAGTATAGTCAATCGTTTAGAAATAATTATAGTTGAACGTATCTTTACAACATTGTTACTCATAGATTACTGGTCTATAGACAGGCTAGTCAGCGTCCTCGGGTGCCAACCCGACACAGTTACAGAATGAACACACACTAAGTTACACACTAGGGATTAATAACTTAGCCCCTTAACTGGTTTGGTGTGGTTCTATAACATTATCCTCAATAAGATGCCTTAAACATGGCCTAGGAATGCCTAGGATAGGATGAGGATGCAAAAATTGCACTTTAAAATATTTTTCAAAATTTGCTAAAAACAGGGGTCTCGCTCGAGTGTGGGTTTTCCCGCTCGAGTGGATATGCAGACAATGAAGCTCTGCTCGAGCGTGACTTTCCCCGCTCGAGTGGACTGCAAACTCATGAAAAAGTACTGGTTGCATGTTTTTTATGCTCGATTGACGCTCGACCCACGATCGAGCGTGAGACTCAGACTCTCGCTCGAGCCCAAATTACCTCCCTCGAGCGGACTGCAAAACACATGAACTTTTGGGCATATGCATTTCACGCTCGAGTGTGACCATCGACGCTCGAGCGGAAGTGCATGTACTCAGAGTGTACGCTCGAGCATGAAGTCCTCCGCTCGAGCGTGGATAAAAAATCTGAAATTTTCATATTGATCCTCAAGCACAAAATTCAACCTCTAAAGCTTCAAATTCAATTTTTCTGGGCTAATTTTCTGGAAAACACTTAGAAACCCATAATACAACATGTTTTAAAGATCATTTCATAAAATCAAGCCCAAAAGTGTGACAATTGAACACAATTTGTAATGTAAACTTGAAGAACAATACAAGAACATAACATGCATGAGTTCTTATGAATTCCAATGTTCCAAAGCATGATCAAATGCAAGATTGAGCTCAAAGACATGGTGAATTTCAAGAGTACAACCAAAATGTGGACATGCATGTGGAAATTCTTATGAAAATGATCTCAAAACTCAATGATATGGACATGCATGCAAACATTGCTACTCAATACAATACTTTAAGCTAATTTTTTACTCTAATCACCAATTTTCCATGAACTATGCATGTAAAAATTTAAAGTCATAATTGAGAGGATGAATTTCCTACCTTAAGTCTTGAATTCCAAGTGTAGAAGCCTAATTTCTCAAGTCTCCTTCAATTCCTCTAATTTTAAGCCAAGATCTAGATGAACTCAATTTTTCTTCCAATTCCCTCTCTCTCATGTTTGGTCTAGAAGATGGATGAAAAGTGGTGCATTAAACAGATGTAAAGTGTAATAAGGGTTGGTCTTGAATTAATCCACTCAATGGCACAAGTGTAATTTACCTAGGTTCAATTAGTTTAACATTGTTTATTCTAATCTAATCATTCCAAATTGAATTTTAATTAAACCTACCATAAAATCCCGTAAATCCTAATTAGCATTGAACACTAACCAATTTCTGAATCTGTCACGATAAGGCTTTCAATTCGCAGTTCGAAATCAAGACATGAACAGATCATTCAATGACAAACAGATAGAAATGCAATTAAAGTAACACACTCATGCAATCAATTCAGGATTTCATCTTAATCAATTACTTATCATGCTTAACCATAATTTAACACTAATCAGAGGTGAGGGTTGTCATACCTAAACAAAGCCACTAGTAAAAGTCCTCTTCATTGAGGCTGAAAGAACTAAAACACAATCGTCTGATAATTGGTTGGCAATTAATATTCTGTAAAGACTGATTGATCCTTACTGGCACGCTCAAAATTACAATAATAACCTTCAAAAAGCCAAAAAGCCAACATATATTTTTGGCACGCCCAGTGGGACAAATTAAAATGGCTAGACGTAGGAGACAAGGAGAAAATGAACGCTTGGAAGAAGGCGTGGAAGTAGAGGTAGAAATACCTAATCTAGAGAATAATGTGATAACACATCCTGCAGAAGTACCTGTTTTATCGAAACCTATGGTTGAAAAGACCAGCACTTCGGAACATGTACCACATATTCAAAGTATTGGACGAGGCCAAGGAAATGGACCATTCACTGTTCCATCTACTCAGCCAATGAATCCATGGTGAGGCCTAGTAGATGTCATGAGACAGCAGTTAATGAACACAATAGAAAGATGGGTAACATCTTTTTTGGATCGAATGAATACTCATCAACCAACTAACGCAAGGCACATAGAAGAAATTTCAAGTGTCCCTCAGCAAAGATTGGTTAAAGATAAACAGCCTATGCAGAGTAATGAACATACTAATGGTTAAACTAGTAACCAAAACTATGAAAGACCATCTCCTTAGTCTTGGTATGAGCCTCTTTCGAGGTCTAATGCCTCATTATGTACTAATGAAACCATACAAGTTGGTGGATCTGGGCCAACACAAGAAAATGGCATAAGGATGCTCCCAAATCCCATGTTTGAAGCCATACCTGGTACAAGGGGGTTCACTAATCCTTTGTTCAAATTTGTACCCGGGGGGTTGGAAGGGTTTCCTGCGACTGGAAGAGACACAACACCTGTTCCAGCACCTTTCGCAGGTCCTTTCGCAGTACAGGCTCAGAGGGGTCACCCATACCCTCAACAGAAGCCAGCACCACGGGGACAACTAGTCCCAAATATACCGCCCTACGGACCAAGAGGACCTCAGGCACAAGATTATCCACCAAATCCTGTGTTTGTTCCTCCAGTAGTGGTTCAACAAGCACAAAATATGGTTCATAGGGATCAAATTGCCAATATTGTTAGAGAGATGTGTGGACCGATGGCTCGGGGTGTTCAAACTCCTGTGTACAGGAAACCATATCCAGAATGGGTGGATAGGGTACATGAATACCCAAGAGGGTTTAGGATACCAGACTTTACTCTTTTTTATGGAAATGAAAACCAATCAACAGTAGAGCATATTGCTAGGTTCGCTGCTCATTGTGGTGAATTTACCAATAATAATTACATGAAATTAAGATTGTTCCCAAATTCTCTAATTGGGGCAACCTTTGTATGATATATTAACCTTACACCTAGCTCTATCCAAACTTGGCAACAAATGGAAGAGGCATTTCATGCCCAATTCTTCCAAACGGAGACAGAAGTTTTCATGGCAGACTTGGCAAGGTTGAGTCAAAGGCCTGATGAGAAGACTGTTCAGTTTACTGCCAGATTCAAAAGAGAACAAAATAAAAGTAGAATTATCTTACCAAAGCCTGAGTTTGTAAGATTGGCTCAACATGGTTTAGAGTTTAGGCTTCGAAAGAAGTTTGACTCAACTGAGTTTAGAGACTTAGTGGAACTAACCTATACGGTGTGTAGGTATGAAGCATTACTAGAAGAAGAACAAGATTGAAGTAATGCATCATACAAAACATATTATAGAGATCCTAATTATGTGATTGATACAGTAGAGATTGTAGGAATAACCTGTGATCTGTGAAACATTAATTCATAAAGATATAACAATTGACCAGTAGTTTAAAAAGAAAGACTTTCATAGGAAATACTCTTTCAATTTAACAAAGGCAAATGACATTTTTGATCATTTGTTTGCGGCAAACTTCCTGAAGTTACCAAAATGAGTCAAAATTCCGTCTCCAGA